TTGCCAGTACTTTTTATATTATGCTATTTGAGTTATTTATTCATCATTTATCTGGAGTATGCCTTCAAGCAGTTCTCTTAGGAAGGGAATACCAGTCCGAGTCTATGACTATCTATAATACATATATGTTTTTTACCTTGGTACATGAATAACTACTTGGCCACAACACCTATTTAATACAATCTTCATTGATATGTAAGTTTTGAAAAAGATTATGGACAGCCTCATTTTCATTTCTTTCATAAATTCCTTCCCACTTCCCTCCATGCATGGCTCATTATATTAAAAAAAATTAAAATTCTGACAAGGAATGTCCAAGTAGCATTTTTTTTTTTTTTTTTTTTTTTTTTTTTTAGACAGGAGTCTTGTTCCGTCACCAGGTGTCAGGCTGCAGTGCAGTGGTGCAATCTCAGCTCACTGCAACCTCCGTCTCCCGGGTTCAGGCAATTCTGCTGCAGTCTCCCGAGTAGCTGGGACTGCAGGCATGCGCCACCACGCCCAGCTAACTTTTTTTGTGTTTTTAGTAGGGACGAGGTTTCACCATGTTGGTTTTTTTTTCTTTGTCTAGTACTTGTCTAGTACCTTTTCCTCTATAATCTCTTCTTCCTTCAACTCAGGAGAGTTGCTTTCTATCTTTGGTTCATGATTGTGTTCATAATGTTCTGTTTTCCTCCACTGGAAACTTGAATATCCTCATCTGGACTCTATTTTTCATCATATTGTCTGCTCCCTGTGCATTCTGGGAGAGTTCTTGTACATAATTTAGTATGCCTTTTTTTTTTTATAAAAAATAATGTAAAATTTTACTTTCTTCTCAATAGATTGCAAGTTCTTTGAGAGTAAAAACCATGACTTTCATTTCCACTTACTTGCTTCCAGCATGTTCCTGGAAAATAGTGGTTATTCATAATAACTATTCGGTTTTCTTAGATGGATAAGACATATGTGATGGTGGTATATCAACTTATTAGAAAAACTATGGCAGAGTACTGAAGGGGGGAATTTGGAGGCTATCTTGAGGAGTATATATTAAACATTCTGCAGGCAAGAGCCCAGCATTTAATACATACAGAAAAGAATGAACACCTACATGTTACATACATTAAAAAAAGAACCATAAATTTAGCAAATTTGGAATTTGATTTATACAAACTGAATTTTAGGGATGTATTATTATTATAAAATTGTAAATTTTACAGAGTTCAAAAAGTACACGGAAGAACAGAATATCCAACAAATATTTTAAAACAAGATTTTATTGTTTTAGAAGTGTGATAGTAAAATTTCAAATCAACATACAAAATTTCCAATTTAAGTTTCTGACCTATCCTAATACAGTTTTCAGAAACTTTTCGGAATTATTTTTTCCACTGTGCATCATAAAAATTTTTTAGAAGAGAAAAGTGTCAAGTTATACTGCAAGTTAAAAGCAACAGATTTCTCATGCCACCAAAATAATTTTGAAACAAAATATGACAAACACAGTTCACCTGCAGTTTTCACAGGCTATGATACCTATTGTCAGCAACAAACATATTTAGCTCCTACCAAATTGGTTGGATAAAGGATGTAATGCCTGATGCTTTAAGTACTCTTGGCTTTACTCTACTTCCAGCAGTCTGAGTGCTTCTTACGTAGCTCTTTCTAGTGAAGTAAGTCTCCTTCTGCATCCCCAACCTAGATTATGATACCTTAGGAAGGAGTAATCATCAGTCACAAAAAGGCAACTTCTAATAAGGAAGTTGCGTGACACTGTAATACAACAGTCCCCAACCTTTTTGGCACCAGGGACCAGTTTTGTGGACATTATTTCTGAGAATGGGGGAAGGGGTGTAGAGGTAGCGGGACAGGGGGAGCTGGTTTCACATCATCAGGCGTCAGGTTCTTATAAAGAGCCTGCAGCCTAGATTCCTCATACGCAAAGTTCACAATAGGGTTTGTGCTCCTATGAGAATCTAATGCCGCTGCTGCTCTGGCAGGAGGTAGAGCTCAGGTGGTAATGCTTGCTCACCTACTACTCACCTCCTGCCAGTGGCCTGGTTCCTAACAGACCATGTATGATTGGTCTGTGGCCTAAGGGTTGGGTATCCTCGCTGTAACAGATGCAATGGGAATATACAAAAGAAATAGAATATGACTTTCCTTTTTACAGACTAAAATCTATTTGGGAAGGGAAAAAATTAATTGAAACAAAAGTAATGGAATCGAATTTGTAGCAGATGGTACATATTCATTGCTTTATTAATTCTTTAATAAAAGAACACAGAAATTAAGCCATTCAAGAAAGATAGCAGAGTGACTGAGCTACAAAGAAAATAAGATATCTTTGAGGTTTTAAAATAATCTTCTCAATATTAGTGAGTTTATATAGTCATGCCAGGACCTATGGTACAATGCATTATACGAGTATATTGTAATGAATTACAAAGATACATCAAAGAAAGTTCCAATCTTCTTAGAGTACAGAGTACAGTCTGATAAGAAACAAGGCAGACATACCAATGAATATAATGAAAGATACAAAATAGGGTAATCGGGAGGTGAAAATAGAAGTCATAGAAATTTCAGGATGGAAAGCTTACTTCTGGCTGTGAGAAATTGAGAAAGCTTCAAGAAAGTTAAATGTAAATTAGGGCTTAAAGGGGATTTAAAAACATAGTTGTAAATATCACAGTACTCCAAGCAGAGAAAAAGAGAAAAAAAAGAGTATGAGTAAAGGCAGTAAGGTAGGACAGCATAAATGCAAAGAGCAAGCAGTTAAAGGGTGTGTGAAAGTGAATAGGGCAAAACCTATATGATTGACCTCTCCACTGGGATGTCTAAATCATGTTTTCTACCCACAGACCAAACCTGTTCTTTTCTGTCTTCCACCAGTCAATTGCTAAAACTCTAAATGCAAGAGTTTTCCTTGATTTATCTGTTTTCCTCATAGTTTTAATACAATTTATCAGCAAATCCTATTGGCTCTACCTGTAAAGCAAATCCTGAACCCACCCACTTCTTTCCGTCTTTACATAAAACATCTGAAATACAAGTCATCATTTCTTGCTTGAGTTCCTGCAATAGGTTCCCTCCTTCTACTGTTGTCTTATAATCTGTTCACATAGCAATTGCAGCAAGAATCAACTTACAAAATTTAATTAGGTTATAGACTCTCCTGCTTACCACCCTACAATGGTTCCTCTTCACACTTAAAAGGAAATCCATATTCCTTGCTTGGAAAAATTCCCACACAACTTTGCCTCTCTGTCCCCACTTCCCTCTTCCCAGCCTCACCCTCTAGTCTAGGGATGTAAACTTTCTTACCTTGAATGTGCCAACATTATTTCTGCTGTAGGGTCCTTGGCATTAGCTATTCTGCCTACTGCAAGTGCTGTTCACATCTAACTTCTGACCTTCAGATGGCTGTTTAAATGTCACCTCTTCAGAGAAGTCTTCCCTGGTGATTCAACCTGAAGTAACTTTCTAGTCACTCAACTATTTAATATTACAACACTATTTTTTATTTTAACTCTATGCATAGCTGTTATCACTATTAGATGTTTTTGTATATGGTTATGTATAGGGTCTATCTCCTTCACTAGAATGTAAGAGCTGAGACTTTGATTATACTGCTCACTTAGAACTGAGTCTGGTACTGAATGAATAATAAAATGCTTAAATTAAACAAAGTTAAAAACTTATGTGGGCTCTTGAATGCCAACATAAAGCAGCTGGGCTTTATTCAGAAGACAAATGGAAGAATGCTAAAGTTTTTCAGGTAGAGATAGAAAGATGCAACAGACATACTTCTTGCCCTAAAAGAGTTCATAATTCACATATAACCCAAACCAGATTATATTCTTAATAGGAGAAGCTCACAATACATAGTACCATTTCATTAGTAGAAAATGACTGACATAGAACAACTGATGCTACAGGACTGTGGCTAAGAAGTGTGGGCTGAGATAGTTTGAAGGAAGTTAGAACTGTAAGGCTGTAGGACATACACAAGTGAAGAAGGCAGGGAGACAATGTCCTCTTTTTCCTTTCCTTTCCTCCTTTCTTCCTTTCTTCCTTCTTCTCCTTTCCCCTCTTTTCCTCTTTCTCCTCATCTCCCCTCCCCTCCCCTCACCCTTCCTCTCCTCTCTCTTCTCCTTTTCTTCCCTTCTCTTTTTCTTTCCTTTCTCATTTCCTTTCCTTTCCTTTCCCTTCTCATTTCTTTCTTTCTGAGATGAGGTCTTGCTATGTCACCCAGGCTGGTCTCAAACTCCTAGGCCCAAATGATCCTTTTGCTTCATCATCCCAGGTATTTGGGATTACAGATGTGAGCCACTGCACCCAGCAAGAAATACCTTGTTTTTGTTTTGTTTTGTTTTGTTTGAGATGGAGTTTCATGCTGTTGCCCAGACTGGAGTCCGGTGGTGTGATCTTGGCTCACTGCAACCTCTGCCTCGAGGGTTCAAGTAATTCTCCTGCCTCAGCCTCCTGAGTAGCTGGAATTACACACGCCTGCCACCATGCCTGACTAATTTTTGTATTTTTAGTAGAGACAGGATTTTAAAATGTTGGCCAGGCTGGTCTCAAACTCCTGACCTCAGATGATCCTCCTGCCTTGGCCTCCCAAAGTGCTGATTACAGGCATGAGCCGCCACACCTGGCCTAGAAATATCTTGAATAGGGGAAATATTGTTGGTAAAAGTACAGAGACAAGACATGTCTGTAATGAGCTCAGTATACAGGGAATAGATTAGTTTAGTCCAAAACTAAGAGTATATACAAAGGAACTTCACATGTATTTGTTATCAATATTTGACTTTTTATAAAAGCATGGTCTTTAAAGCAGAAATGCTTGCCTCAGAGGTCAGAAAATGACAATCATACATAGACTCTCAGGAAGCCCATAAAACCATGAATTAAACACATTCATGAAATCTTGCCTATAAAATCATGAAATGGTTTTCTATTTTGACAAATAAATTTGAATATTAATATCTGTTTTCTTTTTTTATTTCCCACAGAGTTGCCACCCCATTTGGAGGTTTTGAAAAAGCATCAAAAATGGTTAAATTTAAAGTTCCAGATTTTGAGCTACTATTGCTAACAGACCCCAGGTTTATGTCCTTCGCCAATCCCCTTTCTGGGAGACGGTCCTTTAATAGGACTCCTAAGGGGTGGATATCTGAGAATATTCCTATAGTAATAACGACTGAACCTACAGATGACACCACCATACCAGAATCAGAAGACCTATGAAAAGAAAGTTGTATGTGCCACATAAAACTCTGAACATAAAAGTTTCTGTTTTATTATTCTAATTACTGGCAAAGTCACTTGCATTTTTCATTAGTAGCAATAATAGCAATTTAGTGATTCTCCTTTTATGACATTCAATTTCAATCTTAGATCAAATATTAATAAACAATTAGAAATCTTACTTTAAAAGACTTATAACTCACTTGTCTTCATTCATAATTTTGTTGTCACCTGGTTCAAAGAATCTAGACATTTTATTGCAAAAGTTTAGATAGAAAAGTAATTGACAACAGTTTCACCTTTTTCCCATTTTAAATGATTTATTACAGAGTAAGTTTTTCAAGTGGAATCTAGAATCAAAATACAGTGTGAGATATGTAGACTTATTCAGAGTTTCATCTAAGGGATGAAAGCTATGGAAGATGATGTACAGGGTTAGTTGTGTCCTTTCTGGTGACCATGAGAAAATAATATGTCTGGATGAAGTCTTTCCATTAATCACTCTTAGAATTCTAAAGTGCTTTGCACTTTTCAATATGTTTTGAATCATTAGGTAATTATTCTGGATGATTTTCTCCAAAGTTCAATTCAGTCATTATATTCAGTTAGTATTAAGTCCAGGAGACTTGCCAGGGTCTGTCCTACAGACCTTAGCTACATGACAGATGAATAAATGTACTTAGACACAAATTTCCAATGAGCAAGTTCAGGTAGGGGGTCGTGAGCCACTCACAGAGAGAGATTGCAGCTACATGACCTTGACTAGTTGGCCTTCTCTGCATTTATTCAGTATGAATTTAATAACAGAGGCTCTAAGCTAACACACTTGTGGAGGAAAATTAAAGGCCAAGTTCTGAGGCCTAAAGCAAACACTATTAGAGGGTAATCTCCTTGGTCGACCTCCCGACAAGAGGGCCATCCACCTCAAATGTTAGTTTTAAGACTACATGAATGAACAAGTTATTCAGACAAACTTCTCTACATATTTCAGTTATTTGGTTTTCTTTTTATCTAAATGTAAAGAGGATTTAGGCTACCTTCAGCTCAAACTTCTACTGACACTATGCAAAAACCTCTTGGCCTTCCAAGAAGGTTTGTGACTATTCCTTAAAGCTATCTCCCATATTTTTCTTTTAATATTTTTGCCACCACCCTGAATGAATTCCCACAGAGACTGAGAGACAATGACTCAAGGGATGTCATAGTACTATAATTTTAATGACCAAAGTGTGCCCAGAATTCAGGTTTCACAAATCCCAATGCTGTGCATTATGTTCAACTTCATGTGTGGGTTTTCAGAAGAGCAAGAACAAATAAGGTACAAACGAATATACACATAAATGTATACATGTATGTGAGACAGGGAAAGAGTAAGTAATTTGAATTGGCAGCTTTCTTTGCTAAATCTTTAAATTCTGTTAAAATCCTCAAGTAACTGGGGAGTACATGCTATAAGACACAGACAGAAACAAAAGGCATGAAAATATCTGAAAGCAATGTAGCACACATCTATCATAATATATGTAATATACTGACATAGAAGACTCAAACTAAACTAATAGAAAGTTATAGATGTATCTTAAAATATGACTGAGGAATTATATGACATGTAACATAGAAATCAATATCAATTCCTCTCATTTCAATTCAATTAAGAGTTCTGTGATTGATGTTTATAGCAGAGAAGAAATGTCTCATCAATAGAAAACTGTCTATTAGATAAAGTTTAGGTGAGAAGAAGGACAGTGTATAGTAATGAAAATACGAAATCCCAATAGTACATATTTACAAAAGAATCTATGTAGTGTGGAAATTGGCGATTGTTTTAATCATCGTCTAGACTTGTAAGTAGAAAAATTTTAAAAATTTGCTTATGAAAATATAACCCCTAGAAAGTAACAATGACGCAATATTGTATTTATAAATAGTATTGTAGAGAATTTGTATATTTTTAAATATGTCTTAAAATATCTTAATTTTATTTATAAGTTTTGGTGTTTAATTGTATTAAAACAATATGTTGGCATCTGTGATAAATTATCAATGAGGCTACCATTTTTTTGTTCATTTTAATCTTTAAAAAATAAAAATTAGGCATATTCATTAGGAATTTTGATGAAATGGTTTAGTTCTTTGTTAACATCATGAAATGAGTCATTGCTTTTAAGGAAATTGAAATCTTATTGCATTATTTCGATCATTTCCAAATATAAACTATATGATCATTGTTCCTATTCTGTCAACCACTGAAAGTAGAGGCCAGCAATTAAATATGTTAGATACAGAACAGTACTCCCCAGTGTCATAAAAGATAATTTAAAAAGGAAAATCCTAAGTGATACCTATTTTTTTTAAGTTTAGGTAGAAAAAGAAAAAATAACCCTCTGTCACTATTTCTTTCTTTCTTGGAAGTGTCGATTAATTCTATCTCAGTTGACACTTTTAGAAAGGACAACATTTCACTCTGGTTGTTACACAATTCAGAATTCAAAAGGAATTTTGAATGGGATTTCCATTAACCTGAAAAACAGCTAAATCTTTCAAAGCCAAAAGAAATATTATAGTCTGTTTAGAACAACAGAAAGACTGTGGCATTTTTTCCACCTGCTTTTGTATACATGAGGCCTGGAAAAAAAAGAGAAAAATATTTTTAAAAAGGTAAAACAATGAAAATTTGTTGCTGGAGTACTAAATATCAGACCCTCCAGTCATTTCCTTATAAAGGTAACTCAATATATTTAATATTGGATTTTCATAATTATTCTGTAAGGATGGTATTACAAATAATCTCAATCTTATATTAAAAATACTGAGCCTCCAAGAACTAATGTGACTTGAAATAAGCCTAGCTCATAACTTGAAGAACATGATGAGTCTGGTTCTAAAGTGGTTCTCTAAGAACATATGATTCACAACTTTTCTCTCAGAATGAAGTTCAGCCTTAAAATATTTTATTTAGACAACACAATAAAAGTTCTCTATTACCTTAATTTTGAGCAAATACATCTATACACTGAGTAATTTTAGAGTCACTATCCAAAGTTATATAGGCATTCGTAAAAACTGAACTTTCAGACTATGTTGAAAGCAAATGAAACAGGAGTATGCATGTTTAATTTCGAAATTAACACAAAAGTGCACTCTGATTAAACCTGCTTATTTCTGCTCAGTATTATACACCCATTTGATCGACTAATCTTCCTTTTCTAAGAAGAAAGAGTGGGAAAGCAAGAGAAAGAGTTAAGAAATGCATGACATAAGGCTGAAAGAAATCATCTAATTAGTAACATACCAAAACCACTCCTTCAAATGAAAACATTTTCTACCTTTTGAAACTTTGGAGTAAACTCTCTCAAGTTTCATTATACTGTTCAATAGATTTCTAGGTCATGAAATTATATTTTCTATTTTAAGCCAATTTCTTCTTATATCATTGGCAGGACTGATGATCAACTTGCCAACTGCCCCCTGGATAACGAGCACTACATTAATAACTAAAGCTATGGTTAGAGAGACTATCTTTGGCTTTTAACTCTCCACGTCCTTTCATCATTTCTCAAATGTTTTATTTTCCATCTCATAACTCAATATTTAAGAGGACTTGACAATTTAAAATAACTCATTATTGGTTATTACAAAATCAAGTCAAATATAGACAATAATTTTTAGTCAAAATGACCATTTATTGTATCTACTTTAAATTTTACATCCTCTAAAATAGACACATTTATAAATATTTTAGCAGCTTGGAAACAGAGGGAGCCAATTAATCTTGGAAAGGCTAATATGGAGCAAAATATCCAGTCGTGAGTATGAAAAGAACACCCTGAACTTTTCAACTAAGGGCACAGCTGTACCAGCATACTTATTAATTCTGGAATTTCCTCACTCTGCTGCTTATGCAAGATAAAACTTACATGACATTATTGTAGTTTTTCAGTCACAACTGTCTTTTATTAAGCTTAGAAAAGTATTACTTTGGTGTCCCTTTTTTTATGAAGAAGAATTTTGCCCTCCATACTATTCTGTAGGAAGAAGGTCAGTTTACTTTCTATGAAAGGCAGAAAGGTACCCTGCATTTACCAAAAGACAAGCAAAGGGAATCCATTTCAAACTCACTGATCCAAGCACACTGCAAATATATAAAAGAATTTTTTAAAAATTACAATGCTTTTTACAAGTTAAACTTTTCAGAACTAAGAAAAAAGGAAGCAAAAGTACGTAAGAATTTTAATAGCTTAAACTAAAATGTTATTAAATAAAAGTAGAGGTTCCTTTTTGAATTTCTTAAATGGAGAAACTAGATTGCAACCTAGGATATAAATTTCCCCTGACTTCTCAATGTAATGTGATTTCAGTTTGGGAATATTTGGTACATACAAGCAAAGAGAGAAAAAAAGCTATTTGAAAGAGCTTATAGTTCAGATCAAAATAAGAATGTGCTTGTTATTTTGCATTGTGCAGTTTTTTTTTTAAGAGAGTCTCATTCTGTCACCTAGGCTGGAATGCAGTGGCCCAATTACAGCTTACCACTGCAGGCTCAAACTCCCAGGCTCAAGTGACCCTTCTGTCTCAGCCTTTTGAGTAGTTGGGACTATGGCACCTGGCTAACTTTTAAATTTTTTTGAAAAGATAGGGTCTTGCTATGTTGCACAGCCTAGTCAAGTGATCCTCCCAGCTAGGCTTCCTTGAGATTACAGGCATGTACCATCAAGCCCAGCCTGCATTGTGTAATATTTTGAAAAATATTTTAATGACAACTCAGGCAGTGGAGATGTTTCAGGAAACAGGACTGGAAAGTTAGAAGGAAAAAAGATAAAGTAAATGTCATTGTCTATTTTAAAAATGCTTATGAAAGAAGCTGTATCACTAACAAAATAAATATATAAGAAGGGGTGGGATGGAGGGAAAGGAAGGCCAGAGTGAAGTAGCCTGGAAGGAAATACAGTTCAGGCTGTACAACAGATAACTGCATTATTTTAAGGTTTCTGAAGCATTTTATTCATCCTTTTTGAAGTAATTTTGGTCTACATAGACACAATTGTTTGATATGGATTGTTATCTAAATAGATACACTCATTAAATTTATCATCACTCACAAATAATATATAAAAGCAATTTTATTTAAAGGTTCCAGCTTCGAAGTAACAAATTTATATACTGATTTATCACAAATCAACGAATAATCTCAAGTA